AAAATCCGTCAAAAATAATTTAATCTGTCAGAAATTTCCAACGGAAAATTTCATCCAAAAATTCTGTCAAAAATTTCTGACAGAAATATTTGTCAAAAAATTCTGTCAGAAACTTCCGATAGAATTTTCCATCAGAAATTTTTTACGGATATTTCCGTCGGAAATTATATTTTTTTTTTAAATTTAATAAATTTATTAAGGTAACAGTCCTCATATTTGGCCTCTCAAGGGTTCTACTTCACGATATTTCACTTTTTAACGTGTTTTATCCTTACTTGCGCAATTTCTGGAAAACTTCTCAAAAGGTCACCCATTCCTATACTACTCCAGGTCAAGTACACTTAACTGTGAAGTTCTGATGAGTAAGCTACCGGTTATGTATGCTATCAATATAACTTATACAAATTAATTTATTTAAGTCATCATCAAATATACAATCTCATACTTGTACTATAATAATAATATATAATAATTTTATATTACGAATAATAATAATAATAATAATAATAATAATAATAATATATTCAATTATTCTTTATTTATATGTACTTATTTTTATAATTAACATCTACTTATTTTTATTTAAAATTATAATTTAAATTATTTAATTTTATAATTTATAATGATAATATAATTTAAAAAAATTATAAATATTTATTTCATACATACATTTAAATTAAATTTTAATATTTTAAATAAATTATTAATTAATTAATATATTTATTTACCTTAAATCAAACATATAAAATTCAAAAAATGTATTTATCCTTGTTTTATTTTCTAATTATCAACCATTAATAAAATACTAACTTAAAATCTTATCTAATTATATCAAAATATTCTCATATCAAATTTAAAACTAGATATTAGTTATACAAAAATATTAAGATCATATAGTAAATTTTCAATAAGATTTTAGTTAAATAATTTAAAATAATTAATGTTTCAATTATTTTTAATTAGCAAATAATTTATTCCAAAGCTAATTAATTTTTTTAAAATTAATTATAATAAAATTTAATAACTTTTAATTTAACAATTAATTGGATCGATAAAATTCAACACACACCATGAGTTATTGAGCAGAATAACTTTACCAAGAGTTATTTTGTAAGTTATCTTAAATCAAACATATAAAATTCAAAAAATGTATTTATACTTGTTTTATTTTCTAATTATCAACCATTAATAAAATACTATATTGGATTAGTTAGTGTTATATTACAGCTGATAACAGGTCACTGATATATATTACCTATTATTACAAGTTACTGATATACATGTATATATAGTGGTACACATTCACTGGTACAGGAAGCAATATCAGTAATATTCACAATATTCTTCTTGTTCTTTCAATTTTATCATGCTGCTGTATTCAATATGGTATCAAAAGAGAGAATTCAATTCTTAGAACGATCCAACCTGTGATTACCATTCATCGTTTTTCAACCAAATCCACCATCTCTGCCACCCTAAATCAATTACCCACAGCCATGACGAATCAACCCAAAGAATCAAGCCAAGATCCAAGCCAAGATCCCAATCACCCCCTTTTTCTACATCATTCGGATGGACCTGGATTGGTTCTCACATCCCAACCTCTTAACCACAAGAATTACACCACATGGAGCAGAGCGATGCAGGTAGCCCTCTCCTGAAGAACAAATTACCGCTCATTGATGGAACCTTCCCTAAACCTGCAGCAACCGACGCCACAATCGCGACTTGGAATCGTGCGAACAATGTGGTCATCTCCTGTCTTTACAACTCTGTTTCCAAAGAAATCATCACGAGCATCTTGTTTGCCACAACTGCACAAGAAATCTGGGAAGACTTGAAAATCAGACTTTCAAGAAAGAATGGACCATGCATTTTCCAACTCCGACGCCAATTGATGTCCCTTCAGCAAGGACCTGATGATGTTGGCATGTATTATACAAAGCTGAAGTCAATCTGGGAGGAATTGTCCGGTTACACGCCAACATTCCCTTGTACATGTGGTGGCCTTCAACGACTCTAAACACACACAGAATTTGAATATGTCATGTCCTTCTTGATGGGCTTAAACGATTATTTCTCTCAAATTCGTGGCCAAATTCTACTATCTGACCCTTTGCCTTCGATTGGTAATGTCTTCTCCCTTATTCTCCAAGAAGAAGCTCAACGTGAAATTATTGTTCCTCCTTCTACTGCTCACTCAGAAAACATAGCCTTTTCTGTCAATTCCTCACAAAAACATCAATTTGATAACAGTAAGAACAAATTTGTAAATAAAGAGAAACCAAAATGTGGTCATTGTGGGATACTAGGACATACCAAAGACAGGTGCTATAAACTTGTCGGGTATCCCCCAAATTATTTCAAGAACAGGACTCCCAATACTGTGAATCAAGTGGATAACAGCCTTGAAAGTTCCACTAACACTCAGACATCAAATTTAACCCTTGCCCAGTGCCACCAATTACTTACATTTTTGACAAACCAAATGAGAACAGACACTAATCTCGATGCAGTGGCTTCCAATGTCATAGGTACCTGTATGAATCTTGATTTCCACAAGAATTCTCACATATGGATAATAGACTCTGGTGCCACTTCTCACATTTGCTGTTCCAAATCACTATACAACTCATACACTTCTATTCATAATTCTCATGTTTTGTTGCCCAATTCCACTAAAGTAAATGTAGAAGGGATAGGTAGTATCAAGATAAATGATGATATCTTCCTGCATAATGTGCTTTATATTCCTACGTTTAGATTCAATCTTTTGTCACTACTCACTTTAATAAATAATAACCCATTTCGATTTACTATGGAGTCTAACAGTTTTCTTTTGCAGGACCTCAAAACATTGAGGACGATTGGCACTACTAAGCAACAACAGGGCCTACTGGTTTTTGAATTCCCTGCACACATTCTTAATTCTGATTGTATTAGTAGCTGTAATAGTGTCACCTATGAGACTTGGCATAAGCGATTAGGCACATACCTGTATCTGCTTACAAATTGATTGCCAATAAAATCAAACTGAGTTCTATTGATTCTACTTATCACTATAGTACTTGTCACATTGCTAAGCAAAATAGATTACCTTTTCCTAATCCCAATAAATTCAGTCCCAATTGTTTTGATTTATTTTATGCTGATATATGGGGACCCTTTAAACAACCTACTTATGATGGATTTCAATATTTTCTCACTCTAGTTGATGATAAAAGCATATTCACATGCGATGATAAAAGCAGATTCACATGGATATACATGCTCCAGAATAAGTCTGATTGTATTAAAATCATCCCTCAGTTCTTTGCATATGTTGAAAACCAATTTCAAACAAAAATTAAAAGCTTTAGGTCTGATAATGCTAGAGAACTTCATTTCAAAGATTTTTTCTTAGAAAAAGGTGTTCTACACCAATTTTCATGTGTAGAGAGGCCGGAACAAAATAGTGTTGTTGAGAGAAAACATTTGCATATTCTCAATATTGCTCGCACCTTGATGTTTCAATCAAATGTTCCTATACAACTATGGGGAGATTGTGTCAAAACTGCTATGTTTATCATGAATAGAACTCCAAGTCCCATTCTGAATCACATATCCCCATATGAAATATTATATAACAAAGTGCCTAACTATTCTGATTTTAGGACTTTTGGCACATTATGTTATGCCTTTACATTACTTTCTGGTAGACACAAATTCAGTCCTAGGGCTACTGCAGCTGTATTCATCGGATACCCTCATGGCTACAAAGGATACAAGTCGTTTGACCTTACCACTCATTAAACCTTCATCTCTAGAGATGTTAAGTTTTATGAGCATATTTTCCCTTTCCAGAACAGGAACTCCTCTGACTGCAGATATGATGCCTTCAACGACCAAATCACACCCAATCTTATCTATCCTGAAATCTTTGATGATTCTGATCCTATACAACCCCCACATACACAAAACCAGTCTCCCATAATCTTTGATGATTCTGATCCTATACAACCCCCACATACACAAAACCAGTCTCCCATACAACAGTTGCCTTCCTCAAACGAACCAGATCAAACTCTGATTTGCAGATCTAGTAGAGTTGTGAATCCACCAGGATACTTATCTTATTATCATTGCTACAATGCAACCGATAACACACAAACTTTATACCCTATCCAAAAATTCATATATTACTCCAAGCTCTCCACAACACACACCCATTACATCTGCCAAATTTCCGCTAATCATGAACCTCAAACCTATAGACAAGCCATAAAATTCCCTCATTGGAAACAAGCTATCGAAGATGAACTCGCTACCATGGAGATGAACAACACATTGTCCATCACTCATCTACCAAATGATAAAAAGCCAATAAGTTGCAAGTGGTTGTTCAAGCTAAAACTCAACTTTGATTGAACTATAGCCAAACACAAGGCTTGGCTGGTCGCACGCGTCTTCACTCAACAATATGGTCTTGATTTCCAGGAGACATTTTCACCTGTGGCCAAGATCACGATCCTAAGGCTACTCTTATCACTTGTTGCATCCAAACATTGGAATCTAGCCCAACTAGATGTTAACAATGCTTTTCTCAATGGCCACTTAGATGAGGAAATTTTTATGCAAATCCCTCCAGGATACAGCCATCACACCATTCCCACATCTGCTGCCCCTTTGGTATGCAAATTAAACAGGTCAATATATGGCTTGAAACAAGCATCTAGAAGCTGGTTTGCCAAATTCAGCACCACACTAATTTCTCAAGGTTTCAAACAATCAAAGTTTGATTACACCTTGTTCACTAAGGGATCCAACTCCACCTTCATAGCAATTCTTGTCTATGTAGATGACATAGTAATTGCCAGCCCAAGTAACATTGAAATCGAATCTGCTAAGATCATGCTACATCATCATTTTAAATTGAAGGATCTCGGCGACTTGAAATTCTTCCTTGTTTGGAACTGTCAAAGTCACAGGTAGGAATATTCATGTGTCAAAGACATTATACAATGTCAATTCTTGAAGATTGTGGTATGCTTGCTTGCAAGCCTTCTGCTGTACCTATGGAATCAAATTTGAAACTTCATACAAACTCGGGTTCTCCCCTTGCAGATCCAGGATCATATAGAAGGCTCGTGGGAAGATTATTGTATTTAACAATTTCTCGACCTGACATCTGCTATACTGTACACAAATTAAGTCAGTTTGTAGCAAATCCACATTCTGAACACATGAATGCAGCTCACATGCTTCTCCGCTACTTAAAACACACTGTTGGTCAAGGTATCCTATTCAAAGCTACCTTTGACACTAAATTACATGCTTATGTGGATGCTGATTGGGGTTCATGCCTTGATAGCAGAAGATCAACAACAGGTTTTTGTATTTTCTTAGGAAATTCCTTAATTTCTTGGAAGGCTAAGAGACAGAAGACAGTCAGCAAATCTTCAGTAGAAGCAGAATATAGATCTTTAGCATCCGTCTTTACTGAACTTACTTGGCTGAGAAATTTTTTAACTGATTTCAATATTGACACACCATATGCAGTTGTGTACTGTGACAACAAGGCAGCAATACACATTGCAACCAACCCTACATACCATGAAAGCACCAAACATTTAGAAATTAACCTCCACTATGTCAGGGAACAAATGGAAAGAGGGGCACTCAAGTTAATTCATGTCAGAAATCATCATCAGTTGGCCAACATATTCACCAAGACATTGCCTCGCAATGCTTTTCTCAACATCTTGTCCAAGCTGGGTATTGAAAACATTTTTCTCCCATCTTGAGGGGGGGGAGGTATTGGATTAGTTAGTGTTATATTACTGATATACATGTATATATAGTTGTACACCTTCACTGGTACAGGAAGCAATATCAGTAACATTCACAATATTCTTCTTGTTCTTTTAATTTTATCATGCTGCTGTATTCAATATACTAACTTAAAATCTTATCTAATTATATCATAATATTTTCGTATAAAATTTAAAACTAGTTCTTACATTTTCGACAAATATAAATTTGTCGGAAATATTCTATCAATAATATAGCCTTTCCTACAAAAAAACATTTTCATCGAAAATATAAATTTTCTGACAGATTTAATTTTGTTTTATACGAAATCATCTTCGATTAATATAACATTTTGTATATATGATTTAAGAGTAAGGAATTTTCAATTTAATGGTTGGATTTACAAAATTCACATTTAATATAAAATTATTAAGCGATGTAATACTTAGTAAAATTTACACCGCTGTAATTATAACCCCCCTCATATATATATATATATATATATATGTGTGTGTGTGTGTGTGTGTGTGTGTGTGTGTGTGTGTGTGTGTGTTTGTGTGTGTATTTATTTATTTATTTAAAATAATTGTTAAGATCGAAAATATTAATTTTAAAAGGTTTAAAGTTATTTTAGTCCCTATAAGATGGGTGATTTTGATTTTGGTCTTTGTAAATTTTTTTCTTTATTTTTCATCCTTGTAAGATTTATAAACATTATTTTATACTTGTAAAATGAGTAAAATATTTTTCTTTGATTTTCATCCCTCTAAAATATAAATTCACTAGTTTGATTATTTTAAGGTAGATAAATAATATTTATTTTAAAAAACAAATTTTTTTAGAGGTGTTAAATATCAATATGATAATAGTACGTAATTGTTATATGTGACACCTAGCTAAGATAATTATTTATCTTTTTTTAAAAAAAAAAAGTAGATAAAAATGATTACATAAAAAATAAGAATTAAAAATAAAAATTCCAAATAAAGAAAAATATTTTTTAAAAGATAAAATTAAAGAAAAATATTTTTTAAAAAATAAAAATAAAATTTAGTCATTTTATAATATTAAAAATAATATTTATAAATTTCAAAAAAAGCGATCATCGGATTCTCAAAGAGTTCAAACAAGGGACATTAGGAAGTGTGCTATGGTCTTAAATATTTTCGTTGGAAATTTCCGACGGAATCTTCCGTCAGAAATTTTCTGTTAGAAATTTCTGACAGAAATATCCGTCGAAAATTTTCTGTCGAAAAATTTATATTTTTCGACAGATTCATATCTGTCAGAAATTTTTCGTTAGAAATTTGCGTTTTTCTTGTAGTGAAAACTCTCATTATTAAAACAACAAATTAACTAAATAGACAAATAAAGTAAAAAAGATAATAACAATATAGCAACAAAACAACTAATAAAAAAATGAATAATACACGAACACAAACCTATTAGGTTGATATGTTTTCCCATATTCCTTCATCATGATTACTTCGAATAGCATGGATTTCGTCCACTTCATTGTCCGCAATAGGACCAAATGATCTACTTGAGAAAGACGGTGTCTCATGCATATCTAGAGACTCATCTTCGTGAGTTCTATGCATGGTTCTTCCTTCGAGGACCACTGACCATTTCTCATTACATGGATCCTTGACATAAAAAATTTGTCTTGCTTGATATGCCATAATAAAAGGTTCATCCTTATAACCGACCTTGTTCAAATCAACCAAAGTAAATCCTAAATCATCTATCCGCACACCTGTATTGCCATCAACCCATTTACACTTGAACACAGGCACTCTAAACGTAACATAATAAATTTCCCATATGTCTTGTATGACTCCAAAATAACTCATGGATGTTGTAATGGGATTTTTATCTTTAGAACTAGCAAAGTTCACAGCCTCAGCCTGAATTGTAACCCCATTGTTTTGTACTCTACTTTTGTCATCTTCTATCTTTGTATAGAAACAATATTTGTTAATGTCATACCACCAAATGTAATGACATCGTTGTTAGGCCCACGAGCGAGTCTCAAAAGTGTATCAGAAGCATTAACCTCACCGTAAACCTTTTTCTTAAACCAAGCTAAGAAACTCTTGTTATGTTTATTCAATACCCATTTTTTCATTCATTCGAGGGTGTGTTCGCAGTCTTTTGCCCATGTTTCAATTGGGTATAACTTGTGTTTTCTTCACATATAGGACATGCATAACGACCCTTCACACTATACCCACTCAAGTTACCATATGCTAGAAAATCATTTATTATGCAAAATAACATTGCAGGCAAAGTAAATTTTTCTTCACGATATGCATCAAAGACCTCCACTCTTGTTTCCCACAACATTTTCAAGTCATCAATCAAGGGACTATGATACACATCTATGTCATTTCCTGGTTGTCGGGGTCCTGATATCTTCATAGATAACATAATATATTTTCTCTTCATGCATAGCCAAGGAGGAAAATTGTAAATGACCAACAAAACTGGCCATGAACTGTGTTTACTACTTAAGTTCCCATAAGGATTCATGCCATCTCTAGCTAGACCAATTCTCAAGTTTCTTGACTCTACACCAAATTCTGGAAATGTTTCAACATTCCTCTTCCATTGCAGAGAATCAGCTGGATGTCGAAGAAATTTGTCACATTTTCTACCATTTTCATGCCATGTGAGGTTTTTTGCATCCTCTTTAATGGCAAACAATCTTTTAAACCTAGGTATTATTGGAAAATACCATAAGTGTGACACCCTCTACCCCAACATATATATATATATATATAATAAAAAGAAATATCTTATTGGAAAAAAAAAATATTTAAAATTGAAACGACAATTCCAATAATCATGTGAGTAGAGAATTC